ACCAGACTACACAGCGCAACAACCCAGAAGACAGAAATCTTCATACTCATCGCCCTGATGATGGAGGCAGTATGACCTCTGAAACGTTGGTAAACATCGACCAGACTACACAGCGCAACAACCCAGAAGACAGGAATCTTCATACTCTGATGACGGAGGCAGTATGACCTCTGAAACGTTGGTAAACATCGACCAGACTACACAGCGCAACAACCCAGAAGACAGGAATCTTCATACTCTGATGACGGAGGCAGTATGACCTCTGAAACGTTGGTAAACATCGACCAGACTACACAGCGCAACAACCCAGAAGACAGGAATCTTCATACTCTGATGACGGAGGCAGTATGACCTCTGAAACGTTGGTAAACATCGACCAGACTACACAGCGCAACAACCCAGAAGACAGGAATCTTCATACTCTGATGACGGAGGCAGTATGACCTCTGAAACGTTGGTAAACATCGACCAGACTACACAGCGCAACAACCCAGAAGACAGGAATCTTCATACTCTGATGACGGAGGCAGTATGACCTCTGAAACGTTGGTAAACATTGACCAGACTACACAGCGCAACAACCTAGAAGACGGAAATCTTCAATTGTTATTTCCTTAAACAACGTTAACTAAATGCTCTTTGTAATGCTTAAGCGTGTTTTCTTAGAGGTACGAACTGAATTCAGTAAACGGACCACAGAGCAACGTATTATATTACATATATTATTATATTTTACATCATATATTATATTGTTATATTATAATTGCGCAGATTTGAAGACTTTACGCAGAGTGAAGTGTCGCTACCGCTGATCGTCTCGCTCAAGTGCTACGTCCTCCTGAAGCACCTGGGCAGGCTCATCGTGGAGCTAAGAAAGTAAGTTTGCATCAGCCTCAATGTCAGGCAATCCAAATAAGGAATAAGCAATTATTAACTACAGGTGGTAAGTGTCTGTACACTTGAACAACACAATAACACAAATCAAATATCACGACTAACCCTTTGAGCCTGCAGTTCGTCTAAATAATATTTAAGAATTATTTTCTTACTTCAAAAATCACGTGACTACATTACAAAAATCCGATGGTCAATGCTGTTTAAAGAAATAACAGCTACGAGGTGCGATCGGAAAGTTTCAAGACTGCGCCTATAAAAACCCGTACACTTATCTCAGGTATTAAATTCATCCATC